TTTATTGCTATTTATTGTTTATTGCATTATTGGAGGATAGCACGTTAAAACGTTGCGTGTGATCCTGGCCAAACCATTTAGATTTCGGGCTATGTTTCTATTTACTAATAACGGTTTATCTTATAATTTTCAACCGTTCAGGTTTCATAGGGCTTATTCAAGAATTTATTGCTTCTTGCACTAATATTCGCCTTAGTTTTTATCTTCTTTCATGTTCGTACAAAATGTTTCTATTTACGAATATCGGTTTACCTTATAGTTTTCAACCGTTTAGGTTTCATAGGACTTATTCAAGAATTTATTGCTTCTTGCACTAATATTCTCCTTAGTTTTTATCTTCTCTGTGTACGAGTGCTTTTTAAGGTTGTCTAGGATTCTGGGCGATTTTTATGAACTTTTTAATATCTGTAGAATCCTTTGCTTGCCAACCATTAACATTAACAAAGTGAAGAGCTGAAAAGTAACCACAGATCAGAGAGTAACCTTTGTCATCTGTGAAAGTAACCTAGTTTAAATTGGAGGTTATGGATACTTTTTGTTTTAATTTTCCAGATTTCAAAGTTTTCCCAAATTATTCCAGCCACCGCTGATACATTAACGAAAGAAAAAATTACTACTTGGATCCGAAACCAGACCGGCCAACTCACGCACTTTCACTTCACACACGCAACTTCAAACGCACATTACAAGCCATTTGGAAAAACAAAAAAAGGTTCCATAAAATATAAAATCCAGATTGAAGGCTAAGGACATGGCTGGTGACCAAAAAAAAAAGAGCCCCATAGTGGGACAAAGGTCCCATGATATTTGCCCAAATTACCGTACATGTACGGTAATTACCGTACGAATGGCCACCCTGTCCGAAACTGACTGACAAATGATTCTAACCTCACATGCCAGATCAAAAATATTTTGGTTATCGTGATTTGGAAATACATAGTTAATTGAATTGTGCCGTTCCAATGTCTACCGCAAAGCCCATCTATCTGGACGTGGATGCCAGCATTGTCGAAAACAACTTACGTTTGACGGTAAGCATTGTTTAGGATTAGTTGCTTAATAGAAATCCACTAACTACCAGTCAGACAAGTATCTTGTCTCTGTACGAATATACAATATAATTGAATTATCTGAAGCACAAATTAGGTTTGGAGCTGGATTTTTAGTTATTAGTATATTAAATGCTAATTCCAAATCAAAATTCATTCCTGGGTTTCAGTCATTTATTGTCTATTTATCAATTAAAATACGTTTCGGTGTATTTTTCCACCATCCTCAGTTTTTCTAAAATAACAGATAGTTAAAAAAAAATGTCATCAATTTAAAAAACAACTACAGTTCGTCAACAGCCTCATCATATCACACATTGAAATACATCATAATTGCAATACTTTAAAATACTCTAAAATTAATTAGGCCTAACAGATGATTAGTCAGGACAATCAAATTTGGGAAGACTAGAATTCTTTGTTCAGATACTTAGATATTTTTACTTACATGTGTAGCGTTGTTGTTGCTTTAAGCCTTGGCATACATTTGGAGTATTAATTTTGTCCATTTTGGACACAACGCGAATAAAATACTGTTTATATTGATTTCTTTTACTTTCAGCTATTTTTTTTGCATTCTGAGGATATTATTTTTGGTTTGCAAAATTCTTCAATATACCGGGTGTTAGTTAATATTCTATGTTTATTTCATTTAATTAATGTATGATATACTGAGCTAAGATTGTCGGTATCCGATCTGAAATTCATATAGCTGTATAAAAAATAAATGGGCAGAGATAAAAGAACATACAAAATTACCCGAAAAAGAATTTATTGAGGCGGTAGAGTTGTGCTTAAAATCCACATATTTAGGAAAACTGATGATGGTGGAAAAATACACCGAAACGTATTTTAATTGATAAATAGAGACAATAAATGACTGAAACCCAGGAATGAATTTTGATTTGGAATTGAATCACAGTCAGGAAAGTATATACAATGATTAAATGCTAATGACAATTTATTTATAATACAGTTGTTTGTTTTAAGAATGAATCTGAATATGAGTTCAGCAAAATCTTTGAAGCTCGGAGCCGCGAACCACCCTGCAAGACAGTTAAACCTCGACCTGGTAAGCAAACATTTATTTTTAAGCAAGTAAAATTTTCCTAAGCTGAGGCCAATGCCTATTAAAATTAGCACCAGCAATTAAACTTTCTTTCTCGAGTCATTCCAACAAATAACGAAAGGCAATAAAACTACTATATGTTGTAGCGTAAGTATTTACTTAATTTAAATCTCCAAAACACTAAGTACATTCAAGTTGATCATTTAGAAAGTCTAGCGATTAAATTATAGGCGCTACGATTTTATATAAAAGTTTAATAATCATTTAAGTAGAACAGCCACACCCGGTTTTTCATACAATCGCAATAAATACCGAAGCCCTAACAAGTACGCAATAAGTATTATATATGTAACCTACGTCTATATGTACAGAAGTGTTCCTCTTAATGTAATTTTTAAACAATACCCGCGTCCTTACACATACCATAGAATATCGACGTTTTATCATCTAACAGAACTTTGGGTGTGTTGAATTCTGCTATTTTTCCCTGATCTAAAACCAACACTCTATCCGAATCGATAATCGTGTTTAATCTGTGAGCAATAGTAAGCACTGTACAGTCTGCAAAAGCCGTTCGAATGGTTTTCTGAATGAGATCATCGGTTTCCAAGTCGATTGCGGCGGTGGCTTCGTCCAGAATGAGTATCTTAGTCTTTCTTAGCAAAGCGCGTGCTAAACAAACTAGTTGCCTTTGACCAACTGACATATTATCTCCGCCTTCTGAGACGATATGACTTAAACCTCCACTTAATCCTGGAATTGAAAAAGATCTTAAAAATAATTTACGATTATGATTATATGTATAAATAATAGTATCTGATAGTGATAGCCTATTTTATTATTATCGAGCAAATCAACTAGCCTTTGGTGAATTCCTTCAAGTGGGCCAATTCCAAGGAATTCCACACGTCCTTATCGGAATATTTGTCGAATGGATCAAGGTTCATCCTAAGCGATCCCGAGAACAAAACCGCGTCTTGAGGAATGATTGTTAATCGGGATCGTAAATCGTGAAGACCGATATCGGCTATATCTTTGTTGTCAATCAGGATTTGTCCATGCGCAGCTTCAATTATCCTGAAATTAATCAGCAATTGATTAGTAAGTTTACGCAACTGATCAACATTTTTTCTCACCTAAACAAGCCTAGGGTCAAGCTGGACTTGCCGGCTCCAGTTCTGCCTACGATCCCGACTTTTTCACCTCCCTTAATATGAAAGCTGATTCCTTTAAGGACCAGATCTAGGCCAGCCCTGGGAAACGGTCGCCATTAAAGTAGTAGAATAGTCGAGGCTCTTACGTGGTTCTACCTGTATTTAACGCTAAAGTTTTTAAAATCTAGCTGACCATTTTCAGGCCAGGTTTCTGCCGGCTTTTTGTTGGGAATATCCCAGTCAGCTTCTGTTTCCATTTCTCCATACTCTTTGATACGTTCCACCGAAACGATTGTGGTTTCTACATCAGAAATCATGCGAACCAAGAAGTTTAACGTGTTAGTAATCTGGAACAAGATGTGTTTCGGGCCTTGTTGGGGAAGGACTCAAGCATTACTCACATTCATCGAATAACTGACGGAGAGCCCTACGAGGGCAGGGTTCAAATCTTTTCCCAGCACTGCAAATAAAGCTGCGAACAAAATAATCAAGTTTCCAATCGTTTCCAGACGCACAGTCAGCCATAGACTGGATGAATTTGAGGGGTACATGGTTTTCTGATTCAAGTCCACCTTATTCTCAGAAATCTCGGTGAATCTAAATGCTTGGGTGTTAGTGTTTGTTTGTTTCGTTGCGTCACTATTTACCTGGCCACTTGTCCATATGCCCGGATCACATGAGTTCCGGTGACGGTTTCTCCAAAATGTGAGTAAATGGGCGACTTCGAGACCGACTCGATTCGCCTGAGTTGGCGTGAGGTGGCCACATAATATCTTTGAATGAAAATGTATATGGCTAAAAGGGGAATTATCACGGCTGTGAACAGTGGCGTGGTGAAGCAGATTACCAGCATAGTTCCAATCACCTGAAAGAACGAACATTGGTTGAGAAACAGGGAAGTTCAATTTGCGGAGCTGAAATTGAAAAAACGCACCCGAAAGGTATTTTGGAAAAATACGGTAAACGTCATTGGTAATCTCAAGTCTATACCGATGATGTCATTAGAAAACCTGCTGAGGATACGTCCGGATGGGGTGGTATCGAAGAAGGCCATCGGAAGGCGCAGCACGTTTTTCAGCATAAAATTGTGGAGTTTAGTTGCGGCAAACATTGTACCTATAAAAAATCGCAAAACTGCAAACCAAGCTTTGCATTAGCCGTCGGATATAACCTTTTGTAAAAATTAATGACGAAGAGAGAATTGAGAGAGCTTGTCCAATTCCCAATGCTCCATAAACGCCCAAATACATATCTCTTAAGGCAGCGTCCACTTTTCCATCTACGACCATGTTAGGGTCTTCGGACCACATTCCAAGCCACACGTTTGTTGCGATGCCAAACACTACAAGTAGTATACCAAAAGTAGTAAAGAGTTGTTGCAATTCCTGTACTCCTACCTTGAAATCCGATGCTGAAGAGAATTGTTCCCACGATGAAGGCAATCCCAATGGCTCCAAGGTAGTACCAATAAACGTCCCATTTTACGTTGCCTTTTTCCTCTTTCTCTACTGTGGTCAGTTTGCCCTTGCTAGGTGGTTCTTCACCAGGTTCTTTGCCTAATAGACTATCTATTGCAGCTGTGTCACAATTCCGAATTCACTCACCTTTGTTACTGCTTCGGCCAACGCTCATTTTCCGTATAGACATGCTGGGTTTCCTCTTCATACCGTTGCTCCTCAAACTCTCTCTAGACTCTGTTCTGTCTAGCCCGTTTTGAGAGCCTATTGAACCAGATTCAGACAGTCGCGATCTTTGTCTTGAGATTGTCCTGGTGATTTCCTTGGCAATTGGAGTGTTGGCCAGCTGTTCCTGAAGTTCATCCAGTTCTAACAGAAACGGTATTAGAAAGCGACTTCTTTGGAATCGTTCTCGACTCACCGTCTTCATCTTCGATTTCTTCGGTTATGTGTTGAGTGATAAATTCAGCAAACGCCCCCTTTTTTTCCAGGAGTTCTTGGTAGGTACCCGTCTCGGATACTTCCCCGTCCTTTAGCACATACATGTTGTCCGTCTGGGGCAAGTACGTGATTCCATGCGTGACTAACAGTCTAGTTTTGTCTTTCAACAGGCCGTTAGGGCCTAGAAGAAGAATTCATTGATATTATTTAACTGTGTTACACTGTTAAAAAAATCTTTTTCAGTCAAATGTAATTGAAGTTTTGCTAAAACTTTACGCTACGAACTGCTGTGGCACGCGCACATGCCTGCACGCAGGGTACCCGCAGCCAAACATTGCCTACTGGTCAGCCATGTTGCCGAACTGCCACCAAAGTAGAAAA